CGGAGGACCCGGCCTGCCGTTTTGGACACAGCCTCTGACTGCTGCTGATCAGCTAATCAAGTTAATATGCTCAATAGCACTTGGCTGCACCTTGCTGTCTTTAATACCATGGGTAAACTACAGGTGTAGTTTGCATTTTGTTTAATTTTTGTAATTGTGACAGTCAAATATGTCAGATGTTATTGTTCATTTAAGGTTGTAAGACATGAAAAAAACTAATGTAGTGGGAAACACTGACTAAGTTGGTGGATTATATTGACCTATATTGTGGCGCTATCAGGTGTAATTTTATATACGTACACTAGTGACTTTTCGTTTGATGTTCTCCAGCAGGTGTTCTTGTCCTCTGATAAAGAACGGGTGCTGGAACTCTGTGTCGTCTTTCTCTGGTTTCACCAAACCACCCTGCTCAATGTGCACCACCTTACGGAATCCATCTGAACACCAACAAGTACAGAATATCAGCGCCACCAATGAGCTTCTGCATTTCAAATTAACCATCTTTATTTATCCTGATCCACAACTTTTTACCGTAACATAAGTGTCCAATGTTAATACTATTAATCTTTTCATTAGCATTAATAACTACTGATACTTACACATATTGAGCTGTCGGATGAAGCTTGCCATGTTGTTGTGCTTAAAGAATTTTGGCAGAACTTCTTTAGCGAACCGACCCTGATCGAAGACATGGAAGCTGGTTCCACTCTGAAAATATGAAACACAAACAAGCAAAGCAGATTTTTTTTTCAATTATACATAATTTAGATTTACAAATAACTTGWAAAAATTACAATCCAATTCAATTAAACTCTGACGAGAAATTAAATGTTTTTAATATTATTGTGTAGCTTTTACTATGCCAAGAAAAATCACAAAGAAACGCTTGAATAGTCTTGATTTGTTTTGCTTGGTGCTTTTTTTTTTTTTTTTTTTTTTTACTTTTTCACATTGTTTTAATCTATGAGTTGCTAACCCTGTTAAATTATTCCAGAGTTTTATAACAGCAAATAGCTAAAACACTGTAATCATCTCTGTGAGCCAACAAGTTTCACTGTAAGATACTCAGATCAGCACCTGAACCAGAAGCTCTACCTAGCTTTAGTTTAACACTCATTATCTGCTGTTCACACCAGCCAGCCACACAAATAAGGAACTCTCTGAGGACCTGATGGAATCCAGATCTCGTTATCTGGGGATCATTAGCTAGCCTATTAGCTCCATTTGGATTTTAAACTTTCAGAGTTAATACACAATATCGACCAAAACTAATTTAAATCTAAGGTTTTGCGCAGGTTAAATGCAGTTACAACAGTGTGGTCAATTGAAAATAACTCTCTGATGTGTTGTTAGCATTTAGCTTTATAAGGCTAGGCTAGGCTAGGCTAGGCTAGGCTAAAGTAAGGTGAGGCAAGTACCGGACTCCAGCAGATGAGAAGGTCGGTATCTGGGTCCTCCACCAGGGTCCACAGTTTTGTTAGGAAGGCCGGGACGTTTCCGCCGCTCACTACCACTCCCCCGGTTCCACCTCCGAGATACTCCATTATAAAGACGATGGACGAAACACACACAGGACTCCTGCAGCTAATATGTCGATGCTAACAGTTAGCCTGTCTTTAACCCCATCCGCAACACACACATACAAACACGCAAAATCGCGATATTTAGGCCGACAAGGGTTTGAGAGGCATATCTGAAAGTTCCGTCCTGGTTTTGGATCACCTTAGTCTACTAGTTCACGGATTATTATTCAAGCTTCAGTCTGAACAAACTCCGTAGTGGAAAATTCCTACAAATCCGATAGAACAAACAACTGCGTAGCTGCTGGCTGAATAGCTGTCGCTCCTACCAGCGTCGACGGAACGTAAAGCGATCGTTTCGTCGCGGTGTGACGTAAACGTCTGCAACCTGGTTTACTAAAAATAACCATATTGAAAGTACTCATAGAACTTTATTTTCATGCTAAAAGTCCACGCAATTGTCTTACTAGGAGGATTCAATCTCAGGTTTTCACTGGCAGACCACATGTCCTTGGATAACACTGTGCTTTGCCCTGTTTGAAGTCACTTCTGCTACTATTTATGCTGGATTAGTAACAATAGGACACATTACCACGCATTCACAATATACAATAAACAAACCTAAACTGCAAGTCTTCAAAACTGTATCTGAATCTAATTTAAAAGTGTCAAAACTCATTGGAGCAGTAGATTTTTGTTCAGTGGGAAAATTATTTATTCACTCACTCACTCACTCACTCACTCACTCACTCACTCACTCACTCACTCACTCACTCACTCA